CCCGTAATTATGCGACCTAAGGTTTGGTGATGAAGGACAAGGAAATGGTTACAGTGCACGAAGGATTGACCCGACCCGGGTGAAACAAACCATGTTACGTTAGCACGTCAATGTGTCTTTTAGAAAGGGCACTAGTTAGTTGGAAACAAGCTGTTGGAATGGCAAAGTCTAGTAGCGGGAGTTGTTTTTATTAACTTAAATAAGGATAGCGATACTTTCATCTGGAACTTAAATAATAATGGCTTATTTTCTATTAAATTCATGTATAAATACCTAGTCAATAACGGGATAAATATTACCTAGGAAATTTGGCATATGAAAGTGCCCCTAAAGATTAAGATTTTTCTTTGGTTCTTAAAAAAGGGGTGATACTGACAAAAGATAATCTTGCTAACAGGAATTGGAATGGTTGTAAGTCTTGTTGTTTTTTAGCAAGCCTGAAACTATCCAGCATTTGTTTTTTGATTACCACTATGCTAGTTTCCTTTGGCATGCTGTGTTTGTTTTGTTTGGCATTAATCCGCCAAGGAACACGAACCATCTTTTCAATAGTTGGTCAAAGCTAGGAGAGGTTCCAAACATAATAATCTTTTATTGACTGGGGCTACCGCGTTTTGCTGGACAATATGGATCACAAGGAACGATGTGGCTTTTGATAAATATCACTAAAAAACTTTTGTAGGTTGTTTTCTGGGGGACACGCTGGCTACGATTTTTGGCTTTATTATAGCGCTCGGATGACGACAAAGAACGGATTCTTGACACTTGCAAGTTACTAGAATTGAGAGCCATGTAGTTCTTTATATTGAATGGATGGTCCTTCATTTACCGTCTTGAACTTTATTTCTAAACATGTAATAAGTTTTAATGTGCTGATGTAATAAGTTTGGACCGATACTTCTTCTTCATAGAAGGCTGAATGCGGAAAAGCCAAAGGGCCTCTAGTCCAATTGGTTAGAGCGTCCCGGCGGCACTTCTCAGGTCCTGTGTTCGACTCCTCGTGGGAGCGAATTTCAGGCTGGGGTAAAAAAATCCCCTCGTCTGTCCCACGCCAAAGCGCAAGTCTAAGGACCGACTCGTTCTCACAGGGATGACGGTGCTGCTATGTAAGGGTGGGGCAGGAGTTCGGAGATTTTTCTGGGCTGCGTGAGAAGGTCTTCTTCTTAATGTAATGCCTGAGGTGGTCATACCATCGTAGATCCAGTTTTTATTGAATGCAGAAAATTACCATTATATAAATAAAATTAAGCCTGCTGGCCGTACTTGGTGGCTGCTTCAGCGCCATCGACTTAACAAGTTCGCAACTGAAAACATGGCTGTAGCTAGTATGCGCTCATAGCGTGCTTTAATCCGTACAAATCAACCGTAGAACAATATTTCTCTCTCACAACAAACCAGCCATACAAATCAGCAGAAGCCGATTTAATATCAGCCGAACAGAGCCATAGGCTCATAGCGGGCTTTTACGGCGATGCTCTGCGAAACTGAAACTCGCATTGGCAGCCCACCACTACTATATGTTCCTTGCACAAAACGGGTAGACTGTCAGCACAAGAGAGTTTACAAGAGTGAACAACAAAACACCTAGATGACTAAGACCATGCATACAAGACAACAACCATCACTATGAGATCTTTTACGATGGTTAGGAAAGTAGCTTGGTACTTCCTGCTACTTTCACTCTTTCCTATTTTTTAGCTAACTAATTGAGAAACATTACTTATTAAATATAATTTGTAATATTGAGGGTATTTACGTAACTGAGGTTATGCCCTTCGCGTAACGGAGTAACAGAGGTCGCTCGCTCGTCGGTGCTCGCTCTGCTAGGCCCTAGGCGCCGATGGGGATCACGTACGACCGTGAGAGCATCGAGGCGTGGCTCGACACGGGCCGCGCCCCCTGCCTCATCAACCACGCGCCGCTCCGCTACGAGGACCTCGCCCCAGCCACGCCATCCGCTGCGTCATCCAGGACTGGTGCGTCGCCAACCGCTCCCGCGGCGTCGAGCGCGTACCCAGGCCCAAGATCCCCGTCACGCCCGTCCAGACGTCGGAGCTCATCTTCGACCTCGCCGGATCCGCGCGCCGGCGAGACGCCGCCGTGCGGTGCGCCGAGGTGGTCGCCAAGATAAAGGCCCTCGCCAGGGACAACGAGTGGATGCGGAACAGGCGCTGCTTCGCGATCGCGCCCATCGGCACGGGCCGCGTGCTCGCTGCTGCGTTCGAGTCGCTCGCTGCTGCTGCTGCTGGTGCTGACGCCGCACCGGCGGGGCGCGTCCTTGAGGACATCCTGGCGACAACGCCACGTATAATGTTTTGACATGGTGGCTGCGATACTGGAGGAGTTCATGCTGCAGCACAAAATTAATGGAAGTGAGGCAAAGCTGCAGGAAGATGATGACAACATGGATGTAGCTGCTGACAGCGTGATCACTTCTCTGAGATCCCAAGGACTCGTGCAGTTGTGCCTTCCTCTGGACAAGTTCATCGCCCTTGCTGAATGATAACTGATTTACTCTTATTTGAAAATAAAATACAAAAATAAAATAAATCTCGCTTCACATATTTTGGTACTGGTCCCACTTAATTAGGTACTATCCCTATCTATTTAGTACCTTCAAGTACTTTCAGTTATGTACCTTCTATTTTTTTATCGTCCGATCTCATCCGATGAATGTTTTTTCCAACCATCCTAAAATTTCTCACCCATCACCGTACATACTGAGGATCCCGTCTCCCTCTGGTCTCATCCAATGAATGCAAGCCATGTTTTTCCAACCATCCTCTAAACAAGACCGAATAAAAAAGTAAATCAAAAAAAAATTCTCACCCATCATTGTCGAAAAACTAATAGACATACTGAGGATCCCGTCTCCCTCTGGTGCCTATAAACTTTTTTTATCCCCAACTTTAAGTGGGTCGTCAACTCTCTTCCATGTCAATAAAATAGACACAAGCTCATGACCGTTTGTTAAAAGTGAAGACACTGGCTTTTGCAAATTAACGAAAAAAAGTCAATCAAAAAGGAAGAGGACCTAGAGCAAGTGCGGTCAAGCCACCACAATTTTATTACCATGTCAAGACGATACTTCATCTTCTTCCTATGTCATCCCGAGCGCGGGCCCCACATGTCATCTTCGAGCAGCAACCCCTCCTCTCTCTGACCATCCCGACGAGACCAGGCCCCCTGTCAGCGGCGTCCCAGTAATCGAAAAACTAGAAACTAATAGAAAAAAGCCAATGTAAGACCTTGTAACAAGTAACATAGAAATGAGACCTTGAAGCGGCGACCTGTATCACGGCAGGAGCGAAACTATTAGCGTGGGAGTAAACTTTTTTTATCCCCAACTTTAAGTGGGTCGTCAAATTCTCTTCCATGTCAATAAAATAGACACAAGGTCATGACCGTTTGTTAAAAAAATGAGACATTGGCTTTTGCAACATTAACGAAAGCAACAACGGCCTAGACCTCCTCATATTTTTTCCTTCTTATTAATCAAAATAATAAAAAAATGTATTTCCCCCTGAGCTGAACACTCACAAACTCCACCAAATTTGCATTCTAGGGCTAATAATTCAGATGCATTGTTTATTTGATTAGCCACATATACTCAGTTTCAGTTTTCACACATCACATGTTTTTTTTGTCACATCACTGTTTTATTGGAAACTGACGCTTTTGTGCGATCACATCGTCCACGAATTCTGCATATGTCATGATCGAAACATATTTGAATTGGTAGGTCGTTGAATATATAGAGCACATGCCAATCGACAGAACAAGAAGAATGCACATCAAGTGGCATTGGCATCGGATCATCAAAAAATAATTGAGAGGAAAGGTGATGCCGTTCTGCCCCCTTGGCATGCAATTGGGCCGTCAATACACAGCACCTACATGATGTTGACTCTATGGCCCATTTCTACGTCAACGTTTTGCAGTGTCCTTCAAGATCTTTTAGAGGGACCTTGAATACCATTGCAGCGTGATAAAGGTTTAGGCTAATAGTTTGTTCCCTTCTCCTTTTCGTATGATATGGACTAAAACCAAGCTTGCTCCCACAGTTGTTGATAGCTTCACAAATACCGGGCTCTCATTTTAATCCATGAACTAAAACCTAGAACTATATGGATGGTGAGAATATAATTAAGGGCAGTGTGTATTCCTAAGCCCGAGGTGATGTGTTCCAAGATTGAGAAATATAATATTTCAAAATAACACTCCTGGATGTTAGCAAAACGATCTATACTACTTACCTCGTTTATTATTCATCTTGTGTGCCAGGATTTTTAGTAAATAAAATCTTTCCACTCATACTTATAAACTTCTATTAGTAGAATAGAGCATATATCCTTATCCTAATTTATACTAGGAGAACAACTCCACTTTTCGTATGACATGAAAGGATTTACATATACAGGGTGTATAAGTTGTCGACAATGTAGATGTTCCCATATAGGACAGTAGGAGCAAGTGATAAAGTTCTATACTCCCTTTGTTCTAAAATAGCTACATATTTTTAGGTTTGAGGAGTCAAACATTTTAAAATTTAACTAAACGTATAGAAATATACTAATATTTATTACACGTAATAAATGTCATTAATTAATAGTACAATATATTTTTTATAAATATACTAGAGGTACAAATGTTGATAATATTTCTATAAAAAATAAAAAGTTCAATTTTTCGCAGAAAGAGGTTTGCAGTTATTTTAGATTGGAGTGAATATATATAGTCTTATATATGGAGGAAATCCCAACCGGCTATGATGCTAGGCTGTGTTCTTCTTTCATCAATAGGGAAAAAAAAGAGGACAATAAAGAAAAAGAAAAAAACCGGAAGCATCCAAGTGTGAAACCGAAATAAATAAAAAAAGGGCGAATAGCGGACTGCGCTGCGGTTTCTCTCTCCCTCTCCTCCCTTGGCCTTCGTCTCCGCCTCCCGTCTTCCTCCAGAATTCGATTCCCTTCCCCGAGACCAAGAACCCAGCCCCCACCATGACGAGCTCCTCCTCTCCTTCCCGAAAGGTACCGGGCTCTCCTCCCCGCAATCCATCGGATTCGCCGCCCGGGGAGCGCCCCGGCGGCGGGTTTTCCGTCTCGATTCGGCTAACAATTCGATCGATCCCTTTTCTCCTGTGCAGGCGCTGAGCAAGATCGCTTGCAATCGGCTGCAGAAGGAGCTCGCCGAGTGGCAGCTCAACCCCCCCGCCGGGTTCAAGCACAAGGTCTCCGATAACCTCCAAAGGTGCCGCCTTTCTCACCGCATCCCTCCCTCCCTGCAATTCCTCACTTGTTGTGTTTGCCCTTTTTTTCATTTTCTGTAGGGATTTTTTTTTCTTTCGCCTTGTTGCCGTCTTGTAGATGGGAGTGTTCAACCGTTCAAGAACCCTCTTCTTCTGTTGATATTTGCTCTTGATATCTAGGGCTTTTCTTTGATCTCAGTCGTTCTGGATTTGGGCTACCTGCCTGATAGGATAATTCTCTCTGGATAACTGAACAGGTGGGTAATTGAGGTCACCGGAGCGGCGGGCACTCTTTACGCCGGCGAGACGTACCAGTTGCAGGTTGACTTTCCTGAGCATTACCCTATGGAGGCACCTCAGGTCTGGTTTTCTCGACAAAGATCGCACCTTTAGTCAATTAGTATATGTCTTCTCATTCCCCATGTTCCTTCCATTTCATTTGATTGGATGATACATAAATATTCTCGCCGTTTGCTTCCAGGTCATTTTTCTCAATCCGGCGCCAATGCATCCACACATTTACAGCAACGGGCACATCTGCTTAGGTAAAACTGCTCCCTAGGCATCTTGTCTGACGGAGAACATTTGCGTGTGACTCCATGTTTGATAATGCTTTTCATTAGCTTCATGATGGCGGCCCAATGGGAATGTTCTTTGCCTGACCTAATAATGTCCCGTCTAGCTGTCAGTTAGGTGCTAAGATTCTATTTGTTAGAAGAAAGTTGCCAACTTAACCAATTGTGCTTTTATAGTGCTATATAATAGGCTCATGACTGAGATGCACCAACACACATTCCCTTTTGTTACTAGAGGGTCTCAATTGGATTGCCATATGCGTGTGAAATTGCTATGTGCAGGAGTTTTGTATTTGGCCTTCTAAAGTTATCTTAATGCCTGGATGCTGGTGGCTTTTCTGGTTGTCCCTTTATCTTGCTCATATTAAAGGGTACCACCAATGCATCTGTACCAGCTAGTCATTAGCACAATAGTGGCTTAAGTCTTGTTTTGTATTTATCCTTGCTTCATGCTGTAACTTCTTTTCTTCTTTAACGACCTCGTGACCTTTCTTGCCTCTGAAATTGATTACTTGAGCTGTTTAGATGCTACTCTTATTTATGACTTCACACATTGTTGTTTGTCTGTTTGTTAGATTTGTGAGTTGTGACAATTGTGTATTATAGGAAACTCATTTCTAAACCTCCTTTTCTATTCCCTTTTCTTGGTTATTTATTGGAGAAGATATTCCATCCTATCTGCTGGACAGTGTTATAGTACTATGCAAGTGTGCGTAATAAAAACAGCCTTTTTATTTTGCACCAAATGATTTTTTGTCATATTCCTTGATGGCGGTGAAGAGTTCTAAACATGAAGAAAAAGTAAAGTTAGAATTGCCAGTACCTTTTAAAAAAAAATTATTTGAGCATCCAGTTATGTCTATGAGTTATGAGCCTGGATATGAATGCCTATCTTATTGTGCCGATACAGGCAGAATATAGCAGGGAATAATGTGTTAGGCAGGGAAGCATGTTAGGTTGGCACTTGGTTGGCACTTGCAGCTGTCTTCAGCAAATTAACCTATTGGAAAGTTGGTGACAGACTAACATCTTAATGCGAAGATATAGTTTGATAATTAATGACAGAACACTTCTTTAATTTACTTCTAACTCTTCTATGGCTTGAGTGCTTGTTATTCGGGTTTCATCATTACTTACATTCTATGAAAGCAGATGTGAGTACATTGAGGAATATATCAACAATTATTCATATAAAACCCTTCAAGTAGCTATGTGAAAAGGTTGTTTTTGGCATGATTCTTCACATTTAACTATAATGTATCCACATGGGTTGTGTCCTTGTTTCCTTGCTCTAAGTAATTATTTCAAATAATAGCAAGTCAAAGGGAACAAGATATGATATATGCATATACTATTTCAAACCATCACATGCAAAGTGACCAGGCTGCATGTGAAATTAGATATAGGAGTGGCTCATGGGTGGACTTGTTTATTTGTTAGATGGAGATTCTTATCTTATTCATATGTTTATGTGCTAAATGGTGCCATTTACTGTCTCATTTCTTATACAGATTGTAGCTACTAAATCTTAACTATAAATTAGCTGTTGGTAATTTTGAGTACAATCCTGAATGGTATGCCCTAGCCAGAGAGTATCAACGTCGCCCTAGTCATCACGGGATTGTCTCCACGTCCAAGCAAATCGAGGTAGGGTCGACGTCTTGGGCTCGTTATCACGGGAGGGAGCCGCATCGGGTATATCTACAAAAGAAAGAAGTGTCGACGTCTACGACAATTATTAGCTCGATGTGGCTCGGTTGCGCATTTGGAAAATTGCGTTTTAAGCTTTGGCCAATTTGTGGCCACTACTACTTTGATAGTACCGAATAAATTTTGTCATCAATTTTCTTGGTAATACTGTGTACGCACATGCAAACTTTTGTAAAGTAATTGCAAAGTTCAGAACAACGGAGTACGTGCACTACACTGAAAGCCGAGGTGTCAAGCTGCCATATGCGGAAAGGGTGATATTTGTTCTTTTTTAATTAAAAAAAAGAAAACAGGGACTTTATGAATTTTTCATAATAATATTGATAGGCACACAATAGCACTATGTAGAGTTTTTAATACTAGTCATTAGCTAAGCTAGTGCAGTAATGCCGTCGGCCGTTGCACTTGGCTAGGTTAAGCCTTGCCCGTTCTCATCCATAATGGACTAATGGTATGCCCTGTATAGCTTAGATCACTGTTTTCCCTCTTGTGCCCATAATTTCAGCAATCAATACAATAGTATGTGATTAAGCCATGTATTTTCTCCACCTTCCGTACTTAGTAGTTCCCTTGCCATGCATGTCAGTCCTGTTGTAGCATTGCTATTGTAGAAATTGAGAATTATGAGCTTTGTCATTGGAGCCACCCCTCTCTACAACACCACTAACCCCAACACCTAGATGTGAATGGAAATATGTGCCTCTCAGCAGTGGTTGCTAAGTGACCTCTTGTACAGTTTTCCTTAGTTACCTGCTCTGTCGATAACCTAGTCAACTTGGCAAAACGCTCTAAAATTCCAGTTCAGCTGTCTGTTAAATCTATACCTAGTGCCCTGTCTGAAGTGAGGTGACTAGGTGAGAGACTTAAATACTCCCTCTGTACAAGGTGAAACTTTGACCATTAATTTCTGTAACAATAATTTATTTTAAATAGGAAAATATATGTTCTGAAATTACTTTTCATGATATATCTAGTAGCACTAACCTTATGTTGAAAAACTATTTACATTTTAGTTATTGTTAATGGTTAATACTAAAAGAAATTGACTTAGGACAAACCTAAAACTATGAACTTATATTTCTGATCAGAGGGGGTAGTTTTTTTTATGGACATAGGGGACATGATTAATAATGTTTGACCAGAATTTAAATATATTGGTTACCATATATCTCATGATTTATGGTACTGAATCTAGTCTGCCAGAGATCAATTTCATGTTGTTGTGGCCAATGGATCTGAAATTCATGTAGCTGAAAATGGCTCATAAAACGGCACAACGGCACCAATTACCTTACTTACTCTTCTACATTAGAAAATCTGTACTCAGCGTAAAAGGAAGCATATAGATATTTGCATTCACATTTTGAGCATTTACCCTGTTGGTCTTGTTTTCACAAGTTCTTTGTTGACCCGTGGTAGATTTTTCTCAGTTTGTGAAAGAGATGAAAATAATGACCTTGGAGCCCCGTTGGCCATGGCCTACAATTCCCTTGTAAATTGTAATAGCTAAAGCCTAAATGGAAGTATTTAGACCCTTTACATTTGCATTTTGAGAATTTACTCTATTCTGTTTCCATTAATCCTTTGTCCCCTTGTTCCATGAGTTTTCTGAGATATTGAATAAAAGGAGAAACAGTGTTGGTGGAGCCTTGATGGCCATGGGACTGTGATTGACTACTTCCTTCTGCTACTCTTTTCTGCAGATATTTTGTATGACTCGTGGTCACCAGCGATGACCGTGAGCTCTGTCTGTATCAGTATCCTGTCTATGTTGTCTAGTTCTCCAGCAAAGGTGACACTTAGTCATACTACTTGATCTATTAAAACTCCGGTGCCCTCACTCCACAGTCAGACTCTAACTAGCTACAATGTATTGGTTGCAGCAACGCCCAGCGGACAATGACCGCTATGTTAGGAACTGCCGCAACGGGAGGTCTCCGAAGGAGACCAGATGGTGGTTCCATGACGACACGGTGTAATGAGCTCCATGGCATCGCCTGTCAGCCTTCCTTACCGTGATATATCTCTTCAAGGGGAGATGAGATGATTTAGGCCTATTTACAAGTACCCCTCTATTGGATTTGCGAAGCTTACCTTGTTGTGGTGGTATGTAAATGAGTTGCACACGTGTCGAGTGTGAGAATATATATTATCACCATCAATGATATAATATAGAATAAGCAAGAATGTACCCTGCCTGAATCACTGAAACGAGCTCAAAAGGAATATGCAGGTTTAACTTTGATTTGTTTTGCTCAATGTGCCTTTGTATCAATCTGCAGTCTGCTTATGGATTTGCCTATTTGTTGATTTTAGTGCTGCGCTGCTGCTACTTTGATAGTTCCAACTCACAGTCACACCTATTATCTGTGTGCTCATGGATTTGGTATTCCATTTTTCTGTCTCTGCTTATGGATGTTCTCAAATCAGAGTGAAATGGGTAACCTGACACTGAGTTTGAGCTGCAATGGTGTTATATTCTCAAGATATCCCCCAGTATGCAGTTCATGGCTGGCTGCGGTCGTCGTTGAGGCCTGCTCTGTATTTCAACGCGTAAATGAAATTATTCTAGTTCATTCATAGATTGCTACACTTCTGTGGAAATTGAAGTCAGTCTTCAGACACTACAGTTTGCTAGCGCCAACAATTATTACATATGTGCCGACTGTACGCTCGCACCTTTTTTTTCGATCAATCGCTCGCACCTTGTCCAACAAGAAAGCTCCATCTTGCTCGGAAAACAATGCTCAACAGTTCAACGTGGACAGTGAGCACATTTGACTGACCGCCATAGCAACCAGAGGAAACAAAGCGGCGACTGGCAACCGGCGAGTCAAGCAAGCAGCAGAGCATGGACGCGGGCGAGGTGCGGCACTGGAACGCGGACGTCAACGGCGTCTCCATCCACGTTGCCGAGCGTGGCCCCGAGGATGGGCCGGCGGTGCTCCTCCTCCACGGCTTCCCGGAGCTCTGGCTCTCGTGGCGCCACCAGATGGCCGCGCTCGCCGCCCGTGGGTTCCGCGCGCTGGCCCCCGACCTCCGCGGCTACGGCGACTCCTCCGCGCCGTCCGACCCCGCCGCCTACTCCATCTTCCACATCGTCGGCGACGTCGTCGCGCTTCTTGACCACCTCCAACTCACAAAGGTGCCGACTTTTTTCCCCTGCCGTGCTCTTGTTTCTCACCTCACCGATCATGGGTGACTGAACCTCTTGGGCTGTGCCGCTGTGCGCGTCGCGGCCATCTGCCATGGATGGGATCCGTAGGTGTTCGTGGTGGGGCACGACGTGGGCGCGCAGGTGGCGTGGCACCTCTGCCTGTTCCGGCCGGACCGGGTGCGCGCCGCCGTCGTTCTGGGGGTACCGTACTTCGCTCGACACGCTCGCCCGATCACGGAGGCCTTCGCAGCGTTTGGCGATGGCTTTTACATAAACCAGTTCCAGGTGCTGATCCGATCTTCTCTTGCCCGGCTCAACTATGCTATCTACTTTGCCTAATCTTGTACAACTATTTTTCTCTCAATCATGTAAAAGATTTGCACGTCTTTGTATTAAGGTACAAAACGCTCATATAGCGGCCTAATTTTGTACTAGAAATAGCAATTTTGCATCCATTAATAAATTGAAGTAATCTTTTTGTCGTTGCTGGATTGCGCAGAACTGAAACTCTTGCTCTAATACAATTAGTTCATAGAGATTTGTAAGGCTGATTTTTTGCAAAGTGCGGTGATTTGATTGATCATATGATTATATTTGATGTTTGATGCCTTCAAACTTCCTTTGCAGAACATTTTAACAAACCCTCGTAAGATCACGTGCGCATGTGTGTTTGCTTAGATATGATTGTGCTATGTATCAGGCCTGCATATGGTTGAGAGCATTCTCTAAGCTCAGCCATTGGGGGGAATGCAAAATTTCAGTTACCATTTTCAGTTTGAATCTTGGTTTACCTTATATTCTCAAAATTGAAGCAGCAGCTCACCTTCTTATTTAGGAAATAAAATAGGTCGAGGTATTTCAATAGTAATTTTTTCAAACACCAAGTTGGTCTGCAGTCTGCACCAGTAGCTTCAAACCTTTCAAGTTCAGGGTCTGGCTCTCTGTTTCAAAATTCAAGATTCACATTTGCAGGAGCCTGGAAGAGCCGAAAGCGCATTCGCTAATTACGATGTTGCAACTGTCCTTAAAAAGTTCTATTCCATTGAAATAGATGTTCTCAGTGCTCCTCCTGGAGTGGAGATCATAGACTTTCTCGAGGCATCTCCCTCACCACTTCCTTGGATCAGTGAGGAAGAACTGGACCAGTATGCTGAAAAGTTTCAGAAGTCTGGGTTCACTGGACCCCTCAACTACTACCGTATGATGGAGACGTAATTTCGTTACCCTGTTTCCTATTTTTGTCTTATTATTATTATCTTATTACACTGTATGTGATTTAGTTGTAAGGTGTGGTAACTGCAGGAATTGGAGGCTTCTTGCACCCTGGAACCAAGCCAAGATTACAGTGCCCGTGAAGTTCATAGCTGGTGATAAGGACACCGGTGTCCAGTCCTTTGGGATTGAGAAGTACATCAAGAGCGGGGAATTCAAGTCCAATGTTCCGGATCTTGAAGTCACCATCATTGAAGGCCACCATTTTCTCCAGCAAGAGCAGGCCGAGAGGGTGAATTCGGAGATAATTTCCTACCTCGTCAAGTTTACTAGCCAGGCGCCATCATCTTGATGTTTTGTTGCTCAGTTGAGCCTGACAAAAAAAAAAGGTGTACGATGGGCCTCCATTTCTTTCTGAACTGAAAATGTCTTGAGCCGAATAAATGTGAGCTAGTCAGCTAGCCATTTGCTGGCTTGCTTGTATGAATATGAATAAAAAGAGCATGTGACAAAAACACTTGGTGCTGAAAGCCCAATTTTTATTTTTAGCCCTTTTTTTAAAAAAATTTTCATAAATATGTCTCTGAAGGTAAGATTTTAAAATCTAGACTCTTAGCTCGACGTACATGTCTCGGCGCCATCGTTGCTAGCGCCGAGCTCTTGGGCTCGACGCAGACGTGGCGGTGACATGGCAGACAGCTCGGCGCCGTAGATCTTGGCGCCGAGCTCAGCAGGGTGGTCGCGTCGCCGAACGCCCGGATCGGAGGAGACTGCGGTATTGAAAATGTTGGGTCGTTGTTGTACGCCCTGTTCGTTTGGGCTTGTTTGGCTGATAAGTCATTGCTGAAAGTACTGTTAGCTGATTTGATATGAGAGAAAAATACTATTTATTGGCTGAAAAAATCCGACTTATAAGCCTAAAAGCCCAAAGTAACCGGCGGTACTCGACTGCACATCATCCTATCCCTCCATCAGCCCGTCACCCCATCATGTCCCTGTCGACGTATTAAAGTTCCTGTTCGTTTCGAGCGCTTGGCCGGTAAGCTCTCCACGTAGCAAGAAATACACTTGGCCTTACCAAATTAATTGGTTCTCCAGCTAGACTGATCCAGTCGCGGTCGCGGCTTTATCGATCGATCACGTACGCTAGCAACTTCAAGAGATATAGCTAAGGCAAAGATATAGCTATCATGCAAGAGAAACTATGAGGTATATCAATCTAATTAATTAGATGGACGACTAGCAACTCTGAATTTCTAGCTAAGCGTATATGGGGAAAACTCTTTTCTGATAGCTACCGCTTACCATGCGCTCTCTATTTCATTTATTGATCTGTGTATAGCTCCACGTGTTGCGCACGATGACTATATTTACACAATTAAATAGCAAGCTGCGCGTGACAAACCATTGAAAACGATCGATTGCTAGCTCCGTTATTTGACTAAAAAATGGTCCATTATTTTCTGAAGACAATTGGAGTGTCTTCTGCTGAAGGTTTCTTTCCGTAGTATATATATTGTATTATAAATATATTTCTTAGAGAGTGTCCAGGCCCGATATTTTTTAAAAAAAAAAATCAGTATTACCAGTTGTGTCCCTCAGCTGGCAAGCGCGCATACATCGTGCTTCCTACATACTACCATCTCGTCGAGTTTGTGCTCCACTCCAAACCAAAAGAAAAAAGAAAATAAAATAAAAGAGACGTCGTTTATGTGCCCGTTTGGCTAATCGGTGCAGATCAAGCAACTCGAGAACGTGCTCTAGACCCGTTTACGACTTTTTAGGCCGGGCTATATACGTACGTATACAATTGTGCATGCTTGTGCAGTTGTGCTTAGCTAATGGCTACTGCGTATAATTTGCTGATAATTTAAACGTCGGACACTTGCTTGCGTAAGAGCTGGCGTAGAAGCTTGCAGACATTCAGCCGTGCGGTCGTCGTGTCGTGGGATGGAGCGACAATTCTGCTAGTGTTCATTTGTTAGAGTTCTTCGTCAGCGCTGGAGATTGAAATGAAGAAGCTTAGAAGGCTAACCAGATCATTAAAAAAAAAGATCAGCCGGTCGACCGAGAGTCTGGATCATCGAGCTAGCGTACGTGATCGATCGATCAAGCCGCGAGACCGCGACTGGATCAGTCTAGCTGGAGAACCAATTAATTTGGTATGGCCAAGTGTATTTCTTGCTACGTGGAGAGCTTCCCGGCCAAGCGCTCGAAACGAACAGGAACTTTAATACGACGACAGGGACATGATGGGGTGACGGGCTGATGGATGGATAGGATGATGTGCAGTCGATTACAGCAACGACCCAACATTTTCAATACCGCGGTCTCCTCCGATCCGGGCGTTCGGCGACGCTCGCCATCAACGTCTACGGCGCCTAAGCTGGACGTTAAGATCTCGGCGTCAAAATCTACCGAGTCAAGCTGCATATCATGTCACCGTCATGTCTGCATCGAGTTCAAGAACTCAGCGTTAGCAACGATAGCGCCGAGCTAAGGGTCTAGATTTTAAAAATCTTACCTCCATATGCATATTTGTGAAAAAATTTCAAAAAAAGGCTAAAAAATAAAAAATTCGGTGCTGAAAGCTTGCGTAGCTGGCGATTTTTAACTTTTTGCCATCGTTACGGATGACACTCCTTCGTTTGCCATTTTTATACGCGCTCCTACACAATTGTCATCACAAACAATGAACCTCCTACGTTTTTACCATTTTTGCTGACATGGCACGTCAGGTGAGCACGCCAGCGTGGCAGTGAGCCTGAGAAGACCTACAGAGCATGCGAAATGACCTATTTACCTCTGTTACTTCTCTCCCTCTACTCGCTGATGCGTGGCCCCACACGTCAGCTTTGTCTTCAACCTCCAGCCATCACCCGAAGCCGAGCGACCCAACGGTGAGCGGGCTCTGGCGGCGGAAGGAGGAGGAGCGGCGCGCTAGCACCTAGGCCGTGCTGCTACAGAGCCGCTGCCTTATAAAAGCTCCCTGCACTTGCTCCTGTTTGCAGCTTCCACGGAGGCGGGGTAGAAGACTAGAGCTTGCACGGAGCTGCGCCCATGACTGGAGCTCCATCGTCACCATCGATCTCCCCCATCCAGCCGTCTCTGCTACTCCCAACGGGCTCTGCGAGTTCACAGTGGCATGACGACTTCACCCAACTACTCGTCGTTCGGCAACCCTCGCCCCATCGCCGTGAACCACCGCCGTCGCCGCCATTGTCGTCCCGAGGCCAAGCTCACCGATCTCCGCATACACAGCAGCTCTCGCCTCCCTGTCTCCTTCGTTGGCGCCGCAAGGACCCGCCGCGGGCGCCTATCCACATCTCAGCGTCAATCCATGGCCGCAGTGGCGTCTTCCACCTCAACCGAAGCACTCCGCCGGAGAGCCTCGCTTCTACCCGTGGCTGGCTGCCACCAACCCCTCTTTGCCACAAGAACTCCTCCATCGACTTCGCGCGCGGTGCCTTGCTTGTCGTCCTCGGCTGCTCGGCAGCCATGGAGGGATGACGGGCTGGAGGTGCCTGGCTCCCATCCAGGTGCTGGAGGTGTGAGATGAAGCTGGAGGTGCCTGGCACCCATTCGTGGCTAGAGGTTGAAGACAAAGCTGACGTGTGGGGCCCACGCGTCAGCGAGTAGAGGGAGAGAAGCAACAGGGATAAATAGGTCATTTCGTATGCTCTGTAGGTCTTTTCAGGCTCACTGCCACGCTGGCGTGCCATGTCAGTAAAAATGGCAAAGACATAGGAGGTTCACTTTTACGATGGCAATTATATAGAAGCGCGTTTAAAAATAGTAAACGAAGAAGTGTCGTCCCTATCGCTGGCAAAAAGTTAAAAATCCTGCGTAGTTGTGTTGCTTTTGGTAGCCATCGCAGGCTTGTAGGCACAAGGTGTAATCGACACGTGCACGAATGGAACATGTGATCCAGGACGAGCCAGGAGGACTTTATAATTTGTATTTATGCAAGTGACCGTGCATATCCTGTTTCTTCTCTTGTTGGACTCATTGAGCAGCTAGCGCGTCAAGCAGAGCAGCAAAGCATGGAGGTTGAGGCCGAAGCCACCGCCGAGGTGCGGCACTGGACTGCGGATGTCAACGGCATTTCCCTCCACGTCGCCGAGCGCGGCCCCGCCGACGGGCCGGCGGTCCTCCTCATCCACGGCTTCCCCGAGCTCTGGCTCTCCTGGCGCCACCAGATGGCCGCGCTCGCTGCCCGCGGCTTCCGCGCGCTGGCCCCCGACCTCCGTGGTTACGGCGACTCGTCCGTGCCCACCGACCTCGCCGCCTACTCCATCCTCCACATCGTCGGCGACTTGGTCGCGCTCCTTGACCACCTCCAACTCACAAAGGTGCCGCCTTTTCTTTTCTTTTCTTTTTTTGTCCCGGCCGTGCTCTTGTTTCTCTCACCATGAGTGACTGAACCTCTTCCTCTTGGGCTGTGCGCGCCGCAATCTGCCATGGATGGATGATGGATCTGTAGGTGTTCGTGGTTGGGCACGACTGGGGCGCGCAGGTGGCGTGGCACCTCTGCCTGTTCCGGCCGGACCGGGTGCGCGCCGCCGTTGTCCTGGGGATTCCCTACTTTCCCCGCGGCCCTCGCCCGATGACGGACTCATTTGCCGCGCTCGGCGATGGCTTTTACATCAATCAGTTCCAGGTGGAGACTTCTTACGCAGTTACGCTGGCTCAGTTATTTTAATCCTTTCGATTTTTGCATCCGCTAGCCCTTCATCTTATTATTATAGTGTATATTCATAGAAACCACATATATTTTGAAGCAAATGAAGATTTGAGCGGCATTGACTAGCTTGTTAGTTAGTAACCGGAAATTCTTGTAATATATGCGTTAGTTCATAGTGCATTGCCGCAGAATTAGCTGTTAATGTTGATGTTTGCATCATGACCTTGACACCTTGTCTTGTTACTTCACGAATTAGCTGTTAGTGCTAAGTGGGATGCAATGCCTACAAACTTTCCTCAAGAAAAGCAATGGTATAAACTAAGTTCAAGCTATTTTGTAAAACATACTAACAGCTCACAGCACATAATAGTTTGCAGACATGAGACATCCATTTTCTTGCTGAAGCAGGTTTGCCATATAAATTGCTGCTTACTATAAATGTTTTCTTGAATCTTCCTTTTCTCTAAACTCAGTCACTAGTGGGAAAAAAAAATCAGTTAACATTTTTAACTGGGATCACAGACTAGCTTGTGTCCTTAAAACTGAATCATTTATTCATCTTCTCTGTATCATAGGTACAAAAATTAGGAGCAGTGCTTTGATCTAAATTCAAGTTAGCCTATTTCGCTTCGAATTTGTAATTTCAGTTCCGGTGTGCAGGGTTCCATGGAAATGAATATGCAACTACTACGTGCTAAAGCACTACAGCTTGTAGTGGTGATCTATGTTTACTATTTACCGCAATATCTTTTCCATGATAATACATGCTTGCAGGAGCCAGGAAGAGCTGAAAGGGCATTTGCTCGCTATGATGTTGCGACAGTCCTAAAGAAGTTCTATGCCATGGAAATCGATGAGCTAATTGCTCCTCCTGGCGTAGAGATCATAGACTTTCTTCAGGCACCTTCTTCGCCAATTCCCTGGATGACAGAGGAAGAACTGGGACAGTATGCCGAGAAATTTCAGAAGACTGGCTTCACAGGACCCCTCAACTACTATCGCATGCTTGTAACGTAATTTCCATACCGTCTGTCCTCCTCTTGCATCGATGCCTTCTGTTTGATTTCCATACCTGATACCGCTCTGTTACTGAAGTGATATATGGCCTTTGCAGAAACTGGAGACTCACTGCACCTTGGAGTGGATCGAAAATCATAGTGCCTGCAAAATTCATACTAAGCAAGAACGACGTTGGTCTGCAGTCCTTCGGAACTGAGAAGTACGTCAAGAGTGGTGGTTTAAAGGAGAATGTTCCAGATCTTGAGGTTTCAATCATTGAGGGACACCATTTCATCCAGCAAGAACAGGCCGAGAGAGTGAATTCGGAAATACTTTCCTTCCTTGACAAGTTTCCCAGCGAGGGAGGATCAGCATGATGTTATTGTTTCCAGTCAGTCCTGAGAGGAAGATGGGTCTCAGATCTGAGGGTGACTGGAAGCTTTTCCAAACTGAAAATTGACGGTCAAGCTGATATCTTGATGTAAAACAGTTTATGATTGAATAAAGTGAGAGCTGAGAGGTAGCCATCTGTTGGCTTGCGTTCAGGGATAAAAAAGAGAGCATGCATGTAAAACAGTTTATGATTAAATAAACTTCCGTCGACTTCGATGAATGATGTTATTATCAGGTCAGGTCCTCTAGTTTTCCACTCCATGTGCTACATTTGTTGACTGTAACTCTGTCATATACGTACTCTGAACTTTGGTTTACATGCTTACAGAGTTACAGTCAACAACCGGTAACCAGAACAAATCATCAACAGCACACATACGTTTTCATTAACTGGGGAAAACACAGAAACTGCACAAAATGAACCAATTCATTAATTTACACAGTTCATTGATTTTTTTTTTCGCTAACCTCATCGGCGAGCGGTATAGTTCAGAGTCGTCACGTCAGCTGTCAGCATACAGGCGTGGCGTTCTTCTCCGGCGACGCACGCTTGGGCTTGATGGATCGGACCTTCACGTAGCGGCGCATCATTCCGATCACCCTCCTTCCCGCCACCTGGTCAGGCCGCTTTGCCTCACCTGCTCCTGCAGCTCCCTCTGCAACTTCACGAACACCACCACCCGCAGCAGCAGCAGCAGCATTCTCTTCCATGCCGGTGCCTCCGGTGGCGGCGTCCTTCACGCCGTCGTCGACGGCCTCGCCTCTATCAGCTCCTGCAGAGAGAAACGACGGGAGTTATCCTGACACTCCTCCTCCACCTGCTGCTGCGCCTCGCTGTCGTCGTCCTTCTCCACCATACGACACGTCTGCGGCGGTGATGCCTGCTCCTTGGTGTCTTCAGAGCGCTGTTCTGACGTCTCGTGCTCCTGGTGAGCATCCAGCTCAGGTTGCCGTGACTGCCGATGATCCGACAAGCAGAACAGGCCATCTGTATCCTGTGGCTCCGGCTGTACCACCACCGGCTGGAATCCCAATCCTTCCACGTCCACGGCCTGATGATGATCTTGTTCGTGGCAACTGGTGGCCAAGGTTGCTGCTGCTGGCCTCCTCGTCCTCCTTGACATGGTGAGATCAAACCGCCGAGGCTTGGTCTCGTCGCTGCGTAGTCCGCTTGCCATTGCGGCCTGAAGCTTGAACGACATGACAGAACAGAATTGCTTACTACGTAGCTCTCTCTGGGTTGTGGGTTCAGTAGACAGACAGGATGGGGAATATTTGATTATATTATATATATATATATACTGAAGGCCATCAGATAGCTTCTGCGTCGATGCATTTGCGTGCACGAAGGGGGGTCCTGGGACTGTGAAATTTGAATGGATCAGATCGAGGTCAGTGTTAAGTGGGATTGAAGGCAGAGTGTGCATGGTACACGAAGGGGGGATCGATCAGTCCAGCTAGCTTTCTGAACTTTAATCTCAACGGCAGGTACACTCGGAGAGAAATGCACTTGTCAGCTCAGCTGTGTATGTACTTCGGGATGGCTTTGGGATGAAGTTGAAGGGATGATCGATCGGAAGATGAGTACGCTATGAATTACTAGTAACTCTCGTCCTGGATTTGCAGCCGGAGAATCCGATCGTGCAAGAAGCAGTACGACGGTGAGATCCAGTGACAGGCTGACAGCTGCAGCAGCTTGCAGGGAAAGTTTCTGCACTTTGTTTAGTATTATAAACGAAAAGAGAGAAAAATTTCTTCAGCGTTCGATCACGCCAGTACGCCACACGTGACGTTCCCTCATGGCTGTGCCGGACGTTGGCGAGACGGACGGCGGTGGAAAGGGGAGGATAGCGCAAAATGGTGGCCACTGTCTAGTCGATTGGACAACGGTATGCAAAAGACCTTGCAGGGCTGGAAGTCACTGACCTGAACAAGTTTGGAAGAGCCCTGTGACTTCGTTGGCCATGGTAACAATGGGTGAACGACGCTAAACCGTGGGCAGGAACAAAAGTTCTTGCAATACAGCTGACCGACTCTTCGATGCATCTACCTTAGGTCTTCTTTGGCAAGGCCTAGGCTTCTCCAAAAATAGAGAAGCCAAAAAAAGCAATGTTTTGGTGACTTCAGCTTCTAGCCCTAAAATGGCTTCGGTTTCACTGTGTTTTGACTTGCTTTTGGCTTCAGAATCTATTCTCTTGTGTTCTCGTTTGGTAAGGCTTTTAATTAAGCCGGTGGAAAAGCCCTTGCAGAAGCCCTTCCAAAGAGGGCCTTAGTAATGATCAGAAATGGGAATAAAGCACGGTTCTAGCACCACAATTGGCTTGACATGAGAAATTTAGCAACACACTTATTCAAGCTAGTTAAAGGAAAAAAAACAAGACTATTGATCAAGAGCTCTAAAATGATGCCCGGATGCGAACCCTATGTGACAACATTATAACGACCGACCAAATTAAGGAGTTCTTCTCATTGTGAATTAGGTTTTAGAATGTACATTTGCTGCCCAGGATAAGAGACTTCATAACCTAGAGATGGACACCGGATGAACAAAATTCCACACATTTGTTGACTGTAACTCTGTCATATACGTACTCTGAACTTTGGTTTACATGCTTACAGAGTTACAGTATAATTTGGAAACTGCACAAAATGAACCAATTCATTAGTTTACACAGTTCATTGATTTTTTTTTCGCTAACTCCCACGGAGAACAAATGTAGTTTGTTTGCTTGGACGCTCATACAGAGCAAAATTCACACGGCGGATAATTTGACTTTAAGAAGATGGCCACATTAGGACGGTTGCATTTTGTGCAATGAGCCACTTGAGATCAGCTCCTGCAGAGAGAAACGACGGGAGTTATCCTGACACTCCTCCTCCTACATGTGTGCTCCGCTGTCACTTGAGTCTGGCCTGAGCACACATGTGCCTCTTTGCCCTCCGGCTGTACCACCAAAACTTGTTTGACATCGAGTGTTGGTCTGAAAACACTTTTGACACCAACATGTGGGTTCAGTAGACAGACAGGATGGGGAATATGATTATATTATATATATCATATATCTGAAGGCCATCAGATAGCTTCTGCGTCGATGCATTTGCGTGTTTTTCCTGGTCCTGGGACAATTTGAATGGATCAGATCGAGGTCAGTGTTAAGTGGGATTGAAGGCAGAGTGTGCATGGTACACGAAGGGGGATCGATCAGTCCAGCTAGCTTTTGAACTTTAATCTCAACGGCAGGTAACTCGGAGAGAATGAGTTTACGTGTATGAATCTTTTTTGAAAGAGTGGAACCATTTTTTTTAAGAACGGTTTCCAAAGTGCATTGCAAGTGAATTTGAAATTAAAGGATGTTACCGAGAAGGACACTTGTTTTGGTGGGGCCTGGATTAGCCCAGTAGAGTTCCCTGTCATTTTTTTTTATATATAATAAAAAGAAACCCAACTTGTGGTCGGTCCCCGTGAGACGTCCGATCGCAGATGTGCGGCTCAGATCGAGCGGGATAGGAGAACGCAGTACGGCAAATCCTTTCACGAGTCGGAGCGCTGGCGATCGGCGGCGGGCGGGCGGGGAAGGGAGGAGGAGATGGGGCTCGAGCGATTGCCCGCCGGGTCTCTTTCCTCCCTCGCTCCTTTGGGTTCGCTTGGCCGTTAGGTTAGGCCTCCCGCCTCCGTGGCCGTGCTGCAGAAAGTAATAATGCCAAATACAGTAGTGATGCTAATCTGAAGAAACCCTGTCAAGATCGATACGACGATGCTGCATTGATCCAGTTGACGGCCGGCACTGTTTCAATCTAATCTGCACGCATCTCAGAATTGAGATGGTAGTGATGGATTCTGAACAAACAACTGCACCTGTTGACTCTATCATATGCCTCCACCCTGGTCCCTGCAGAGAGAATGACATGTTCTCTTTTTTTTCATTCAAAAGAATTGTGTTTAATAACAAGCAGAAACAGGTGGCTGTGACCGATTCGGGTTAGCAGAAGCGTCTCTCACTCTCTCGTCTCCACACAGAAGCACGGGCGGTGGCATTTCGCGTGGAAACTTGCTCGAGGCCGGGCCTACCGCCTACACTCTCTTGTGGCGCTGGTTACTCAAAGCGTCATTGTTCGTTGATGCAAGTGTGCAAACTCCCTCCACGTCAAGAATTACTGCTCTCCTCTCCTGTTCCTTGTCCATGCACGAGACGAGACGAGAATGCTTTGGCCTTTTGGCAGCTACCGCAGGTCTCGGCATGGCATCCATGCACAGCTGGCCACGGAGAATCTTTATGTGATTTTGTTTCTCTGAAACGATGAGATTTTTTATCAGATGAAGGTACATTTACATGACACGAAATGGCAGCTTCAGTTTTTTTTTGTCAGATGTCCCTGAAACTGACCCGACACTGTTCTCTTCTGTTTTGTTCAGCGATATTTTGTGGTGGCTATGAGGACTACTGCTGGCAGTGCAATGATCCGTGTTCTGAATACGAGACGTCCTGTTTCATCACTCCTGCAAGGTTTCAGGTTTGGGGGGAGAAGGGACCAAGAACTGGGCTGCACTCAACACGGTGCTATGGAAATTGAAACAGGTGTTTGACACAAAAATGTGGGATGTGATTAACACACAGTAAGTCGGAGGATCTGAGTGGAACGAGACCAGAGGTTTGCTTGGCTTCAACACAGAACCAGCCGGTTCTGAAAACCCAACGACGTGCCAGTCAATTTGACCTGCAACTGATAAGGAGAGAAAATCTTATCAGTAATTTAAGGTGGAACATGTTGGTGTTGCACCAGACAGTTCCAAATGTACGGCTAGATAGACGATTCAATAAGGTTGTCGACTAAATAGTCGATATCCGGCGTATCAAGAAATGAAGATCTTTAAATTAAGGATTATCTGCTAATATTAAATGATAATGGTATGAATCAAAATAACCGATGCTCATGGATCATAGCAGGTTTATGATGACTGATTAATCTAGACAAAAACTAATACAATACACACAAATACAAAATCAGAAGATCTTTCCTTAAAATTCCAACATATATTACCAAATGGTCAATTGATGTCATCGATCGATTAGAGAATTGATAATCAGAAAAAAAAGCGATATAAGAAAGTATCATCGGCTAAATGGAACATGATCGATATAAAGCGTCTGAGCCGATAAGTTTGATGAAAAGAGTATAACATGCGAACAAATCGACTGTCTAATATAAATAAATCTACAAACAGTTTGAATCTAATATATTATCGTCAACAGTGAGGTTCGATCGGATCGATGCAGCTATGATGATGATAACAAACTAAGCCAAATAATCTACAAAACCATCTATATATTGACAGATTCATGAAAATATGCTATATACGTGAGAGTATAGGCAAATCGGCTAAAATAGCCGATGCAGTCATAGCAAACAAATATAGTACATATCTTGATCATGAACAAGACCACTAATCGATAATTTCTAATCTAAAGTCTTATAAGTGAGGTTCGACCTAATCGATACAGTTATGGTAGTGTCATTTGATTATATCTCATTAACTAGTGGGTTTATTCAAGATTGAAATATGTCTTTGGATACATACTATGTTTGATTGGAATAGAGATAAAACAGCCGATCTAGCTGAATTAAGCCATCAATTATAAGATTTAAAGCATGATCAAATCAAAGGACGAACAATTAAGATGATATGATGTCGATCTATCTCTATCTCAATCAGGTGATTTGTTATAATTAATAAAATATTAATTATAACAAGATCGATAACTGGTGAATCAACCAAAAACAGGAAGAAAAATCTTACTAATCTTAGCAGATTCGATAACTAACTTATATTATGGCTCATAACTGGTGATATTATATTAAACAACAGGTTATTTAACACAAGATCGATAACTTTGATCTATATTATGATTTGTAAGAGATCAATCAGCTGATGTAGTCTTATAAACTACGATACAGATCGATAACTAACTTATATTATGGCTCATAAAAGATCAATCAAGCTGATGCAACTTTACAAACACAATCCAAGTCATGACGGTATTCATAAATAAGCTAGAGATCGATCGATCGATGTAGCCTTATTTGCTGAAGAACTCGTCAAGATCTACAGTACTCCTAATCCTAATGCAATGGCTTTTACACGTCCATAGAGCTGAATCACTTCACACCCCACCCACAC